CACACCCAGCTGGCTCTATCCTCATTTTATAAATGAGAAAACTGAGGCTCAGAGAGGTTGAGTAGCATTCCTAAAATCACACAGAATGCAAACCCAGGCCTTTGCATACCGAGCTTGGGTTTGGATAACACAACAGCAGGGGACCGTAAAGGACAGAGGTCAGGAGGGATTGCAGAGGGGAGGTCCTTTCTGAGGCTGTGACTTTGATCGAGGTCTGGGGGGCGCCTGGGGCCCCTCTCCCCCGCCGCCAGGCGCCTCATTAGCCCTGCAGGCCCAGCCCGGATGAAAGGCTCGAGCCGCCGCCGACCTGCGTCTGGGCTTCAAATGCAAACGGGGTGGGGGCGCCGGTGGCCTCCGCTCCTGCTTTCATGGACCAAAGGACGCCTGCGGCTCGGCTCTTTTCCTAATTTAAAGCCATTTTCGGGCGTCTGGAGCTCCCCTACAGCGAGGCGGGAAGGTTGGGCCGGGGAGCCTTGAAACTCTCATCGCGGGCGAGCGGGGGTACTAGGTAGGGGGATGCGGGAGACCGAGACTAGGGTGGGGCCCCGCGAGGCGAGGACACCGTGTCCTCCTCTGGGCGCCCCTCAGCCAGGGGTCTCTCCTGGTCACCACACCGCCACCCCGAAGGCAGAACGGTGCAACCTTCATACGGGCGTTGTGAAAGTGGGGGGCTTCTGGGGCGACCTTGGGGAGCTGCAAGGTGCCTACACCTCAGACGCCAGCAGGATGGAACCCCCTTGCGGAAAAGGGAAGCACGCGGGCCGGGAGCAAGAGAGAGCGGGGTCGGGAGTGCAGGGATTGTCGGGGGGCTGCCTTCCCTGCGGTCCGGTGCAGGCTGTGCTTCCTCCTACCCTTCCCCCTCCCGTCCTGGGCCCGGGCCCCCCTGCTCCCCGCCCCCGCCGCTGCCTGCTCCCGCTTCCACGGGGCCCCTCCCCAGGGGGCGAGACTCGGGGTTCCCAGCCCACTACCCTCTCCCGCCACAACTCGCCCGCCTCCCAGCTCCCGCCTTCTCCCGCCTCGATACCCCTCCTCCTCCACCAGGGCCTCGCTCTCCCCAGCAGGAGAAGGGCCCTCCACCTCCATCCTCTCCCCAGCCCCGCCCCCACTCTCTCCCCAGCCCCCTCCCTTTCTGACCCCTCCCCTCCCCCCCACTTTCGGGCCCCTCCCCCGCCCCTCCCCCGCAGCCATCTTTGCGAGTCCGGAACCGCTGCGTGTCCTGTGCGGCTCTGTCCCCCGCCGAGGCCGCCACGCGCCGTCCGTGTCCCCCGCACTCCGCTGGGACGGCGCTCCTGGGCTGCGGTGTCCACCCAACCCGCTGCTGGGGATCCGGGTGGGGCGAGACCTGACGGGGCTCGGGGACATCCCCCAGCTAAGGGGAAGGGGGTGACCCCGGCGGGAAGGACACTGGGACCCTCAGCTGTGCGGGGACCTGGGACCCACGTCCTGGGACCCCCTCCCCGTCCTCGTCGCCTCTCAGTCCCCTCCCCCCGCGGTGGAGCTGCTGCTTCCAGGGAGGTGGTTGGCGGGAGCGGGGGTACCCCACACCTCGCAGAGGTCCCCCGGGCTCTGGTGCTGCGCAGCCCCCCCAACTCTGCCTGCCCAGGACCCCCGGGACATCGTGACGCCTCCCCAGCGGGCAGCTGGCCACCTGCCTGCTCTGTACCCCGCGGATGTCGTTACCACCTAGACAGGTCGACTCCTGGGCTCCACTGTGACCCCCCACCCCCGCCTCAGACCCCAGCATCTCCAGACACCCACGTGACATCTTTGCTGTCACTGAAATCCAGTCACCTTGCCATTGGCTTGTCCTTGCCCCTGCCCCATTTCTTAGCTGTGTGACTGAGGCGAGTGGCTTAACTTCTCTGAGATTCAGTTGCCCCCACTGCCAAGAGAACTGTGAGGCCACACCCTTGTGCCCCTGTCCTGGTCCTGCCTGTCCTCCTGCGGGAATTCCTGCGGTTTTCTTGGCTCCAGTGGCCCCAGGAGGAGAAAATTGATATTGATGTCCTCGTGCTCAGAACCCTCTGGCGCAGAGACCGCCATGCAGCTTCGTCTCAGGATGCCCACAGCAGCCCTGGTACCCTCATAGGGCCCGTCCCAGCCTGCTTCAAGCCTCAGCTCCCTGCCACGGCCCTGGTAACTCCCATCACCGCCTTCCTGCACTTTCTGCGTGCTGCCTGTTTATTGCCTCCCTTCTGGGCTGGAACACAATCTCGCTGTAAACCTTGACTTTTGTTCTCAGTGTGTCCTGCAATTTCTGGCACCTACCAGATTTTCAAAGACTATGTGTCGCATGAGTGAACTAAATAAATAAGCATGTGGACACTACTTAAGAGCATAGCTGATGCCGAGTCCTTGGTGTTCACGGGCATTCGGCAACTGGGCGCCTGGCTTCGGCAGGGCCGTGGAAATGATCTCTAGCTACTCGCTCTTGTGGCCACCGCTGCATGGGACCTGGGGAGATGATGGGAGGGACGATGTTCCCCCAGAAGGGAGGATATATGACAAAGCACTGATGTTCATAATATGTAAAGAGCACCTAAAAATCAATAAGGTTGGACAACCACATTTATAGAATGGTAGGAGACTTGAACAGTTATCAAAGGAGATATCAGAATGGCCAAAAGCTTCTAAAAGATGCTTAATATCTAAACCAGACATGGTGGTTCACCCCTGTAATCCCAGCACTTGGGAGGCTGAGGCAGGAGGATCACAGGGAGTTTGAGGCCAGCCTGAGCTGCATAGTGAGTTCAGGGCATTCCTGGACTATGTGGTAAGACCATGTCTCAAAAAGAAAAGAAAAGAAAAAAAAGAAAAGAAAAGAAAAGAAAAGAAAGGATGCTTAATATCATCAATTATCAGAGAAATGGAAATAAAAGCACAAGATATCATAAGGAACCAACCAGCATGGTCGTGTAAAATGCTTAAAACAAGCAGCGGCCAGCTGTCACAGTACTTCTGGTCTTTGGTTTTTACAAGCCAGGTCCGCCTGTTACTGTGTGAGGGGTGACAGTATGTGTAGCCCACCGCACTTTGTGGGGAGGCCGGGATCAGACCCATCACACATTAGTAACCGCAGACGGAGTGTGCACGTAGAAGGGCACCGTCTTCACCACCCAGGAATCCTGGATCCCTGAACAAACCCCAAGCCCTCCATTCTGCTGTAGAAAGGGCTGGTGGCTCCCACCTTAGAGAGGGGCTACCAGGTCTCCCTGCTTCCTGCTTCCTGCTTCCTGTGGGTATAAGGAGAATGACAGCTATTTCCAGACCAGGGTCTCCTAAAGTCATAATGGCTTACTGATCCTTCCTTCCACTCTCCACAAACAGTCCAAGAAATCCTTATTTCCCTGGGGGCAGAAACCCCAAGTGATGCCAGAGGAGCCCTCCCAAGCCCCATCTCAGTCCCCTCCTGAGAGGACTCCTTGCCGTTTGTTTGGGGCGCACACTTACACCTATCTCTCTGAACATTTACAAATACCTATACCCACCTAAATAAACACAGATACAGTCAACCCTCCATATCTTTGGATTCCAAATCTGGGGATTCACACCAGGCTCAGATCAAAAATATTTTCTTAAAAATTTGCATCTGTACTGAACATGTAGACTTCTTCTTGTCATTATCTCCCAAACAAGACAGTACAACTACTATCGATGTGGCATTTACATTTTTTTAGGTATTATAAGCAGAGATTACCTGCTGGGCGTGGTGGTGCATGCCTTTAATCCCAGTACTCAGGAGGCTGAGGCAGGAGGATCAAGGTCAGCCTGGGCTACATAGCAAAGCTCCACCCCCCACAAAAAGTTTAAAAAAAAAAAGTAGAGATTACTTATAGGAAAAATGGGTTTAATGCAAATACTGTGCAACTTTAAATAAGGGAATCAGGAAAGTGAGGCTTTTAGTATCCCTCAGTATTCCAGCAAATACTAAGATGATGGTACTGACTGTGGCATGTCTTAGTTTGGGTTCCCCAGAGCCAGAGACTTTGAAGCAAGACTAAAAAGGCAAGAGGTTGGTCTGGGAGAAACAGCAGTAGAAAAACTAAGAGCAAAAATGAAAGAGAAGGTCGTGATTCTCAAAAACGTCCATCTTTGATATTTATCCCATTATTCACGGTGGTGCTGATGCTCCTCCCATCGGAGGCGGGGTCTGTGTCCCCGCCTCCTTAAGTGTGGACAGGGCCACCCTAACCAATGGAGTAAAGGATCTGTCAATTATTGAAGGCTGGGTCATAAAAGAGCTTGCACCGGCTCCTTTCTGGCTCCAGAGCTCCCTGGATTCTCTGTACTTTTTAACTTATGTATATGCCATAGGCCTGTAGTGTATCAAAGAGCCACACACTCAGTTCAGGGTTCTTTGTTTGTTTGTCTTGTTTTTGTTTCTAGCTCAGGGTTCTTATCCTTGGAGCCCACCCGCCATACTGGAGGACACAGAGGTCACACTAGGGGCCATGAGTGAGCGTTCCAGTGACAGCCTTAGCTGGGCTTCAGTGACAGCCAGCATCAGCCAGTAACCATGTAGCACTCAAGGAGGCTGTGGTCATGTCAAGATGTTAGAAGGAAGTTGAAAGAAACAAGAAAGACTCTTCCCTAGGGCTTTCTGGGGGAATGTGGCCCTGCCTACATCTTCATTCAGACTCCTAGCTTCCATCGAGGCACGGTGGCGCACACCTGTAATTCCAGCACTTGGGAGGCTGAGGCAGAAGGATTGCCACAAGTTGAAGGCCAGCCTGGGCTACAAAGTGAGTTCAAAGGCAGCCTGAACTACATAGTGAGATCCTGTCTCAAAACAAAAAGCACATGTAAGCCAGGCGTGGTGGGTCACGGCTGTAATCTCAGCACTCTAGAGGATGAAGCAGGAGGATCCTGAGTTTAAACCCAGCCTGGATAATTTAGTAAGACTCCATCTCAAAAAACTACAAAGGGCTAGGGATTTAGCTCAACCCTCCCTGGGTTCAATCCCCAGTGCTGCCTACAACAAAACAAAACAGAACAGAACAGAACAAAACAGAAAACTCTTTAATTCCACAAAGATCCTATTTCCAATGAAGATCACCTTCACAGATACCAGAGGCCTCCTCAAGGAGGAGGGTACCAGCAGTGCAGATCTACGGCTCGCCCCTTGCAATAGATCTTGACACTTTCTCCACCTCGCTCTCTTCCTTTTTAGGTCTTGTTTTCTGTAATTTAGACCATGATTCCTTTAACCCGTTCCCTGCCTGTAAAGCTCACCCCATTTCTACTGAGGTCCTAGTCTTACCATCAGAGGCAGAGAACAAACATTTAGCCCTGAGGGGTCCCATGGGTGGGCAGGAGACCGCTGGTTTCCTTTCGAGGGAAGAGAGTAGGATAAGCAACCTCCAGTGTGACACCCCAAACCTCCGTTTCTCCTCCCTCCACCTGGCCCTGGGCCTCAGCGGCAGAACAGGGAGTTGGTCAGTGTCACATCCTTGGAGCTTGTCCTAGGACTTCCCTGGCTGACAGACCTCAGCTCCTGCTGTAATTATAGAGTTCATCTTCTGTAGAGACCCAGACCACACAGGGCTCTTCCTCTCCAGCGTTTCCTCCTAACAAAAAGAGTTCTATTTAGGGAGAATTTAAATATATTTTGATTTTTTTCTTGTTACAGGCAGGAAGTGCTAAAAGACAATGAGGATCGCCCACATGTTCAGCCTTGAGGAAGCCATGGTTGAGTTTAGGTCTTCCTCAAGGCTGGGCTTCAGGGCTAGGCAGAGCTGGACCGGAGTTCCAGCTGGTCTGGTCCATGCTGTGTGATCTTAGGCAAATTTCTCAACCTCTCTGAGCTTCTGTTTCTTCACTTGTAAATGGGTTTATCACAGTGTCTTCTTCATCAGATAATTGGGCAGTGCAAGTGATAAATGTTGGGCTGTTTGATTTTGCTATGTTTGGGTTTTGGTTTTGGGAGTGAGGATCTCATTATGTAGTTCAGGCTGACCTTGAATTCAGGATTCTCCTGCCTCAGCCTCCAAAGTGCTGGCATGACAGGTGTGCATCACCACATCAGGCCAGGATTTCATTTCCTCCTGGTCATAGCACTGCCCCCTGGCCTCCCTCCTGGCTCCATTTAGTACAGCCAACTTTGTCATTACCATGCGTCCTCTGAGATGCAGCTCTCTCAGGAAGGGCCACAGACACCAGTTCAACTCAGCGTCCCAGAAACACAGCCCCGAGCACACGCCACACTTCACACTTGCAGGGCAAACACAGGGTCCTGTCGTCCTGGAGCTCATCAATTTGGGTCGCAGGCTTTATTCTGCTGAGGAACCTGGAGTGTGCGCTTCAGTCCATAGTTGTTTCCTGCCTTCTGATGCTTGATTGAGTTCCAGACGGTTAAAGGTGCCAGAAAAAAAAAATAACGAGGGGCCGATAAGGTAGTGCCTTGGGGAGCAACGTGGGAGGGGGGTGGGACAGGGAACAAAGGACACTGTAGTCCGCATTAGGGGCTGAAGCTCTGGCCCCCAGATGCTTGGACTGGAATTCCAGATCCACCATGTACTGACGTGGTGACCTTCCTGCCCCGTGCTCAGTTTCTCCATCTCTAAAGCAGACCTAGTCCTGCCTCCTCAGATTGTGATGGGAACTGAGGGAGCAACAGAATGCTTCAGACAGGGAGAGGTGCACAAAGCAAGCACTCAATACGTGAAAGCAACTATTGCACTGATCCTTTGGGGGCTCCCCGGGGAGGAGCTGGAGTAGGGGGTCATCTGGAGCCTGGAAGGGGAAGCCAGGAGCTGCCTGGCAGCTAAAGCAGTCCCTACCCCACCCCACCCCACCGAGCAGGCCTGGCAATTCCATCTCAGGGTCACGGGGCTCACGAGCCCCTTGCAGGGGATCAGGGCCCAGCCCTCCGCAGATCCCTCACCACTAATCTCTCCTCAGGCGGGCGGGCTTCTAAATCCTCCTTAATTCTCGTTTCCTGCCTTCTCAGGGCAGGGAGGCCCCGGGCAGAGCTTAGCTCCTACGAAGAGGGGCTGGGAAGCAGCGGCACTCAGGGAGGACTCGCCAGCCCCCACCCTCATCAAAAGGGGGGGGCCCTGGGAGCCCCTGGGGAGGCGGATGGCCCTGCCTTGCCCCTGCCCACAGTAGGGTGAAACCCGCAGCCTGCAACCATGCTAAACCCACAGCCTCATCGGGAGCAGCAGGGAGTGGGGGTGGGGCTGGCGAACACCTGGCTTTGCCGTTCTCCCCTATCCCGGAAGGAAGCCGCCCGGGGTCGTCCCAGCCACCCGCACTTCCCAGGGCCTCAGGCGATGTCTGCTGTTCGGAGGTCCCGGGTGCTGGGGAGGCCTTGGTTCCCACCTTTGAAGGAGCTCAGGGGCTCGACCTGACTGCGGTCAGAAGGATCTGGGCGAACCTACAAGAGAGAATAGGGGAGGCAGAGGCTGCATCAAAGCACTTTCTGGTGAAATGTTGTGTCTGTCTGTGTGTCTTCTCCACCCACCTCCTGGAGACCCAGTCCAAGGGGGTTCTACCACTAAGTTACGTCCCCAGTGCTTTTTACTCAATTTTGAAGCATGTTCTCTCTGCACTGCCCAGGCTGTCCTTGAACACATGATAGCAAGCCACAGCAATCTGGGTTTGAATGCTGCCTCCAGCACCCACTGCTGGGAGACCCTGAGCCAGTGCCTTTGCCTCTTGGAGCGGTTTCTGCCCCAGTTAAAAACTGAATGAATGAGAGGATGTGCTTCCCAGGGAAGCTACAGGCTGCCAGAAAAGGAGAAAGGGAGTGAGCTGAGTGGGTGAGGGGCAGGCCGGGGTGTGCTCCTGACCAGCTGGGCTAGCCCTGGTCACCTGGGCAGCTTGAGTGCAGGGGCGATCCCTGGATGGGGAGGCTCCCTGCTCATGTCTCCCAGAAATACACAATGGAGGCTGTGGTCACGTGCAAGTTCAAGGTCAGGAGTGAGTGTGCCTTTCCCTGAGCCTCAGCGGTCAGACATCCCTGGTGCACACCTGGTATACAACTGGCACAACACACCTGGCAAACACCTTTAAGAGTTTTGACGGGGCTGGGGATTTAGCTCAGGAGCACAGCACCTGCCTAGCAAGCGCAAGGTCGTGAGTTCGATTCCCGGTACCGGAAAAACAAACAAATAAACAAACAAACAAAAAGACATTCTAAGAGTTTTGAACCAGTGTGTTGGTGCACATCTGTGATTCCAGCACTGTAGGAGGCCAAAGCAGGAACATCTGAAGTTTAAGCCCAGCCTGAGCAACTCAAAAAACAAAAAAGAGGTGGGGCTGTAGCTCAGTGTGAAGGCCCATTCCCAGTACTGCAAAACCTTCCAATCACGGGTCCATCTTAGTCCTGCTTAACCAGGAGTGAGCACTCACTCTGTGCTGAGCATCGTCCTAAGCATATCCCACCCATGTACTCACTGATTTTCACAGCACCTTGCCAGCTGGGAGCTTTTGGAGCTGTTGGCCCAGCACTTCCGGCTTTGCCAGAAGAAGTCCGCCTCTGGTGAGGTCATGTGACCAGTTCTGACCAATGAGCTGAAAGAGGAACTGACACACCCTTCCCGGGCCAGACCATGGACATCCCCTAGCAAGGCGGTTCAGAACTCTTGCCTCCTTTTGGCACGATGGCCAGCAGGGATCCAGAACGTTTCGTAATGTGGGTGCTTTCCCCTCCCTGGTCCCACATGTGTGCAAAGCACGACTGAGAAATGAACTGTGTGGTCTGAAGTCACTGAGCTGTTGGGCCTGTTTGTCTCTGCAGTACAACCTAGCTTCTCCTGACCATGGTGAATCACACCTTCCTTTTACAGGTGAGGAAACTGAGACACGACAGGGGAAGTCACTGGTCTCCGGGCCACCCAGCTATAATGGTGGTCGGGGTTAGACTCTGGGCTCCCTGACAGCAGGGTCTCCACTTTCATTTCTAAACTGCCATGGGGGTTCTAGAACATAGGTGAAATGCCCGATATGTAAAATGCATGGTGTCAGGGTGGGGTTGGCCTGTTATCCTGTCATCTCCAATTATTTGGGGTTGTTTTTGTTGTTGTTGTTGTTTCTTTTCCCTTCTTTGTTTTTAAAAAAATTTATTGATTGACTGACTGATTGCAGTACTGGGGACTGAACCCAGGGTCTTCACACCACATCCCCAATCCTATCTATTTTTTTTTAGACAATGTCTTGCTAAGTTGCCCAGGCTGGACTTGAACTTGAGATCCTCCTGCCTCAGCCTTCCAGAGTGCTGGGAATACAGGCATGTACCACCACACACAGTTTTTCTTTTTTTCTCTCTCTGTTTTGCACAGCTGGGGATGAAACTCAAGATGTCACGAATGTTGAACAAGTGCTCTCTACCACTGAGCTGTGTCCCCAGCCCTATTTCTTTTTCCCTGATCACCGGTTTCTTGAACAAGAAGCCACTATCACCTATCTTGGGGGAGGCTGGATAAAGGGACTTGAAGCTTTCCCCTCCCCCAGACCCCCTTCTACAAAATTTAGCTTGTTCAGCTCATCCTTGCCCCCTGCCTCTGTCCCACGGATGCCAGTGGAACTCCACCCTGTGCCCCAGTCCCCACCATGAACACATGGGCCCTGACACTTCCTCCCTTACTGCCTCAGCCGTTTGCTACAGGGAGAGAGATCCTGAAGCCACAGGGCCCAGGGCAGACCCACTGGGCCTCAGGGATTGGAAGGGAATCCTGAGCTGAGTTTGCAAAAACATCTTTGCACCTCCGCACTTCCCACCTGCCTTCTGTCATCTTCTAGGGTCTCTTAAGATTGTTCTGCAGTTCCCAGAGAGCCAGGACCACAGCCCCTCCGCAAGGGGAGACTCCAGGGAGAGCCAGCCCGCACCGCTGGAGGCACCTCCACGCCAGCCTCAGCACTTTCTGGCCTGACCAGTTAACTCAACACTTACTCTACATTAAATACCAATCGGACCAATTTTCTGCTGTAATTAAACCTCTGCAGATGCGTTACTTGCTCAGCAGTGATGAGTTTATTAACCTCATTTCCTTCCTGTGGGGGCAGGGAAGAAAGTAGAACAAAAAAAAAACAAAAAAGAGTTCGCCATGAATTTGGGTGAAGAGATGCCAGGAGAGACTGGGTTTTGGAGCTAGCACAGTTTCTTCTTGTGCTCTGGGCTGGAGACAAGCAGACATACGTGTTTACAAAAGCATTTGCAGAAGTGTCCATACATGTGTATTTGCTTTGGTGGAGACTTGGAAAAATCTACTCCCCTTGTGACCTGTTTCCAAACCAAGACTTATCTCATAATGGAGTATTTTCTTTTGCAGTGTTCCTTCCTGGATTTCTGGCACATATCACATCTGAACTCTGGAAACAGAGCCTCTTCCAGCTCAGCAATCTACACTGCTTGTGGCATCTTCTGTTATGCAGCATAACTGTGGCTGTCCTCACTATTACATGTTAAATTCCCACCTTATTATGGTGAGACTGAGGTCCATTTACTTACTAACCCAAAAGTGGCTACAGTAGTTCTTGATGAAGAAACCCAGATACTGGAGAGATATCTTCACGTGGACTGGAAAAGCCAGCCAGGGTATTTCTCACATCTGTCTGAAGTAAGAGGCTCCTAGCTGGCAGGCAGAGGAGCCAGAAACTGGATGCCTGGTACCTCTGCGGCCAGCTCAGAGTAACCCTGTGTCTATTCATCGGAGACTAGCCGACGCTCACCTTCCCAATCTCCTCCATTCTAGCCCTATGTTGATCACTTTCCCATTGCTGGGACAAAATGTTTAATGTCCAGGACTTAAAGGAGAGGTTTATTTTTGGTGACTCATGGATTTTTAGAAATTCAGTCCATGGCCTGCAGCTCCAAGGCAGGAAGGGGCTGGCAGAGGGAAGGTTCATGGCCCTTGGCAGCCAGGAAGCAGGGAGAGAAGGCAGGGACGAGCCAGACGAGGTCCCATCTTTTAACAGGACATTCAGCTACTGATGCATCAATTCATGATGAGTGTGGCACCCCATTATCCAGTCACCTTTCAGCCACATGAGACCTCTGGGGACATTTTAGATCTAAACCATAAGAAGCCCCCAAGAAGCTGCTCTGTGCTGGTTTTTGGTTTGGTTTTGCTTTTAGAGACTGGCTCTCGCTCTAGTATTGCCTAAGCTGTCTTTACACTCTTGAGCTCAAGCCATTGTCCTGCTTCAGCCTCTCTCGGGGCTGAGGCCATAGGAATGCAACCCCATGCCTGGATCTATGTCTTAAAAAAAAAATTAGTGACTTCACTTGTTAGCACAGTTTTAGGTTCATAGAGTTATAAAGACCGTCTCCATACATCTGCTACTCATCCCATTTCTCCTATTAATACTATACATTA